CAAAAAAAGAACAAAACAATAAAAAATTTCATTTATTTATAAAATAATTATTCATTTTCACGATTTAATATTATTTGTATCACTATCAGCATCTTTTTTTCTAAGACAAAGTACACAAAAAAATCGGTTGTCTAAACTTGGGTCAAAAGTAAAAAATGTGGAAAACAAAATGAGAGTGAAGATGAAGATGTAAGAGTGAGGGTGAGTTTGAAGGAGATTCCTACTTTCATAATCTATTACTTTCGACGTTTCTACCTTCTGAAGTCGAACAGGCACGGTCGTAAACGATCGTATACGGAGAAATACGGCCACATACGGAGGAAAAAACGGTCGTTTACGGCCTCCGTACACAGATTTCGTATACAATCTCCGTTTTGCCCCGTATTTGTCCTTATACGGTCACGGTGATATACGACCGTAATACTGGACCATGTAACACGCTAAAATACGACCGTTTACGGTTGTATAGGGAGTGTATACGGTCGTTTACAGCCGGATACGAAGTTCGTAAGGGTGTGGGTGTGGGTGTGGGTGTGGGTGGTGGTGGGGTGGTTGTGGATGTGAGTATGAGTGAGTGAAAGATCTCTACTCACACCCACACCCACACCCCATAATTATTTTTCTTATAATGGTAAATATTATCATCAAGTACGTGGTGGTGCTATGGGTTCTCCGCTAACATTAACAATTGCAAACTGTTATATGTTCTTTTTTGAACAAGATATTGTTAAACAAGTTTAGAATAGTAATGAACTCTATTTACGTTATATTGATGATATATTTATTACGATCAGCTGGCCTATTCAATATCTATCGAAACAAATTGATCGTTGGAATAAAGTCGATCGAAATATAAAATTAAAAGCTGAAGTTGGTCATTCAATAAATTGTCTCGATGTATGTATAGAAAACAAAAATGGTGAATTATTTACAAAAGTTTATCATAAACCGGCGTATGAGCCATACTATTTACCATTCAATAGTATCCATCCCATGCACATGAAAAAGAATATTCCATTTGAAATATTAATTATTAAATATTGTTCAACATTCGATGCATATTTATATGAACGTGAAAAATTAAGAATGGCTCTATTATTAAATAGATATCCCGGTGAATTTATAGATAAACAATTCAGTCGTGTATTTCAAAAATATTATATTACTCAGCCACTATCTACAAAAAATTATAATATATCACGTGAAAAAATTAGGTGTGCTCGTATACAAGAGAAAATTCTAATTGATCATGGTAAAACGATGTTTGTTCATTTTACCTATTGTTTAAACATGAAAACATTTTCGGTAAAATTTCATACCCTTTGGAACAAATACTTTATTGAGTCTCCAATAAATGAAATAAAACCAGTATTGGGTACTGGTAATGTTAAAAATTTACAACAGCAGCTAATCCATAACAAATAATATTCATTCAATTTGATTTTGTAAAAATTAAAATAAAAATAACTGGTTATAAAAATTGAAATAAGTAAATAATATTTATTTAATCTGATCTTGTTAAAAATTAAAATTTAAAGAGACGGGCCATAAAAATTAAAATAAATGATTATACATAAAATGTAGCATTATACCGGTCACAGTATGCTGATTAATACAATACAAGCTAGCTTTACAAAAATTAAAATTAAGACATTAACTTATTCCGAAAAGTTACATGTTTTTTCTCTCTGTCTGGCTGTATTATATCTTTTACATTATTTCTTGATCTTGTCGATTTTTCGATTTTTCGAGAAGCTACGTTTCTTTTTGTCTCTTTGTGTTTTTGTTGATTTTATTTGTTCGTAAATCAGAATATATTGTTGTTTGTTTTTTATTTTGTGCTTGAACATCTAATACAGAGCTCTGATGAGTGTTTTAATATTTCAATAAAGAACATGAAACGCGTTGGCAAATAAAAATTTGCATTTCTTAAAATAATCGATTGCTGAAAAGCAAATGTGGAGTACAAGCAGATTGTATTTATCCTTTCATCAAGATAGATAGGTCAGTCTGTTTTTCGATTGAATAATAACACGGCTGATAATTATGATCCTAATTATAATCAATTTACAGAATTATCGGAAGTCGATGCATGTTCAGATATTGAATCGAATTACGATGATGGTACGAATGATGCTGCACTATTAATAAATAATAATAAAAATAATCAAGAAACAAAACAACAAAAAATTACAAAGAAGCAGAGACAACGAGTCTATTTAGAACCCAATCGAATAATGCACTATATGCAAGATAATGCAGCAACAACCCAGTGAAAAATATTCCGAAGAAAATCCGGATTATTTTTGATTACCGACGAAAAAATCCGATTTTTCGAACAAAACTTCTACCATTTCAAGAATAATCCGATTAAAGTTGATTAAAAT